CTCTTTTGGCAATCCTACCTTTGCTTCCTTCATATAGTCTGGTGTCCTCATCTCTCACCTGTTCACTTTGTATCCTTCCATCTCTGCCCCTCTCTGCCTCAGTCTCCCTTTCTCTCCATCTCTGCATCCTCTGTCTCCAAAAACCTGTATCAATCTATCATTGCTTCTCAATGGCTACCCAATCAGGATGGTGGTCTAAGAGGGCTGGAGCATGGATGATTGAATATGGGTATGGGAATCCAGAAGCTCTGAGAAAAGAGCCATCTAGCTCTGGCCTCGGGGGCGGGGGGGCGGGCGGGGGAAACTTATGATAGTCACCTGCCTGCCCAGGCGCCAGCTCCGACATGATTGCCCCGGGGCTCGCCTTTGTCTCTCACTAGCCTCAGAGTTAGGATAGAGATGGGCCTGGAAGGAGGTCCACCATCTTTGTTCTACCCGGCCACAGCCGACCCTCGGAGGGCCAGGCCCAGCTCGCTCCAGTTGAAGACACCCCTGCTACAAGGACTCCCACCGGCTTGGGCAGCCCATCGCGCCTTTGTCCACGCCCTCGGGGGCGCCCTAGAGCTATGGGGTGGGGGTATACCTGGACTCCTATAAAGAGAGATTTCCTAGGCTATGGCTAGTATGGAAAGGAGACAAATTGAGACTAGGAGAGCAAGAGAGAAACCCGGGGGTGGGGGTTTGAGAAAGGCGGGAGCGCTCTGCGAGACAGACCCGGAGGCTGGGATGAAGCGGGGACGCAAGGCGGAGTCGGGGAGTGCCTCAAGCCACAAGCTAAAGCTGAGAGCTGGCAGGAACTGCCGAGGCAGAGGTGGCCAGGATGGTCTGGACGGCCGGAGGCAACCCAGGAGCAGCGGGAGGCTCCTCAGCGTTGAGCCAGGGGCCAGTCTCCAGCCGCAGGGCTGGAGAGCACAAGGCTGGGCCCAGGTGGGGGTTCCGGACACAGATCCGCCACATTCTTCGCTTTCTTGTCCCCCACCCACCCACCCACCCTCCGGCTCAGTGAGGTCGATCGATACCTGCGCGGGACCTGCCCCCGCTGCTAATATCTTTTTAATGAGTTCTCAGGGCTTAAAGCCAGCGCGATCTGCTCTCCAGGGTGGATTTTCCCCGGCAGATGTTTTGGGAGGAGGCGGTGCTTCGAGGCCCGGGGTGGGGGACGGTAGGCGAGGACAAATCTCTCCCTGCGAGGGGCAAGAGCAGACTTTCTTCTAAAGTTCAAAATAGGAGCTTTCTCTGGGGGTGGGGGCAAAATGTATTTTTCTGCGGACAATGAACTTCTTTTCTCCTAGGGCCTCCGGGACGGGAGGGGCAGGGACCCATCGTGTTGGCCTTGCCTAACCGACTCGAGCTCTGGGCACCAGGGTCTTAGACACCCGGGTTTCCCGCAGGAGTTGGAACTTGGCCTACGCTGCCGTGGTCCGGATGCAAAGAGCTGGCCCCATCTGGGCGTCCAGGAGCAAAGCCTAGTCACACCGAGAGGAACCGACGTGCCTTTCGGGCTGGACCAGAGCGGTGGGCTGCTTCCGGTGCTCCTGGTCTCCCGGTTGCGGATGCTGAACCTGAAGGGATGCGAGCTGGCTACTGGAGGGGCTGCGGGACTCATCTCCCGGCTCGCACCACTGCCCTGGTCCCCTGGGCTCTCTGCCAGAGGCAACAAGTTGGAATTAGCCGGGCCCTACCGGCTGCTGGGTCCTGAGACCCTCTTGGTGAACCTTGGGCCAACCATCTCTTCTGATCGTTCCCACCCGACCCTGCTCTGTCCTTCCACACCCCACCTGGGGTCCCTTAGCTCTTGGGTCTCTTGGCCGGTTTCTGCCTCCCTTGTCCCCACTCCCGTGGACTTGGGGGTGGGGCACGGGCACCGGGGATGACCTCCGAAGAGCCGCAGCCGATTGATTCGTTCCGCCCGAAGCCTGGGCCGAGTGAATGGGGCTCGGGCGGCGGCGGCGGCGGCGGCAGCGGGGATAAAGATGTTGTCCCTGAAAAGGGGGTGGGGGTGGGTGAGGAGCGGGAAGCAGGGCCATTCACTCCTGGCCCGGCCCCTCGGGAAGCCTCTGTGAAGAAAGAGGGCTAGGGTCTATTCAAGCCCTACGAGCCGCCCACAATGGGCCGATATACTGGGGGCCTCTCTATTAACGCCCATGAATATTAAAGAGATCGCCGAGCGGCAGCTCGCGGGTACGATCGAGGGGGCGGGGGCGGCGCCTTGGAGCTCCGACCTTGCGGAGTCCAGGGGAGGGGTCTTCGCGCAGGCACACTCGGATCCTGAGTCCCAGAGATGCGGTTCATCCACTGTGAACTTCCAGAGTTTCCCCCTCGAAGGCTCCACGAAGAAAAATGCGAGTTCAGGGGTTTTGCTGTCCGAACCCGGCGGGCTGTCTTCCCTACAGGGTTTGATTTTGGGGGAGTATGGGGCCAGGGGGGGACTATCACTAAGCCAGAAGCTCAGAGTGCAGCGACTACATCCCAGGTCCGCAGACATCCCAGCTAGGAGGTTGCTTTGGCTCTCGTCCTCCTCCAGCATACTCTCCGCAGGTTCCGGGGATCCTAAGGAAGTAATGGGACACCCTGGTCGCAGCCTGAGCCTTCGGTCCTTGTTCCTTTTGTCTTCGATCTTGGGACCTGGGCGCTTTTCACAGTAAAGTATGGCGAGGGAATTGTTAAAATCCTCTGCAGCTCAGGAGAAAGCCACCGGAACAGAAGGGTGACAAGTTGGGACAAAACCTCAGCGCATAGTTCAACTCAAAGCACTGTCGACAAGAACTAAGAGACCCAGAGAAGGGCTGTGTCCCCAGGATGGTCTGCCGTCCTCACTCCCCTTTAGTCTCCCGCAAGCGCAGAGGTAGGCTCCGGGGTTGGAAGCTGAGCACCCAGTCCTGGCATTCTTCTGTCCAGCTCAGTCTCCTCTCCACTTAGGCTTCAGAGAAGCCAAGATCCAGGCGCCGGTCAGGTTCCCCTGCCTCTGAGACATTGGATTCCATCCTCCCGTCTGACTGGAACTCTCCATGAGCCGATTTAACTCACCGGCGGCATCTGTAAGAAACCCCAACCCACCAGCAGAACTTGCTCCTCTGCAGCGCTGCCCTCTGCTGGCGCCCTGCCCGCTGGTCCCTCTCCCTGCCCGGTACACCCACTTTTCCTCTGGGCTCCAGGGGTTCAGCATCTGAAGACATTGTATCGCTGCCGCTTTGGTGTTATAGTCTCCCGACTGCCAGGCTGAGGACGCCTGGCTCTAACTAGGGGTTACAGAGATCCCCTGGTTTCCAGGAGCCAGGCAGATTTAGAGCTGGCCAGCTGCTAGTGGAAAGAGTTCTTTTCCTAGGGTCACTAGGATCCTGCCCAAGGTTCAAGTCCCAGTCCTACTCTGGCAGCACTACCCACGCCCAAGTCATAGGGCTTCAAAGGCCTGAAAAGTCTTCGTTATCCAGTGGAGACTTAACACAAGAACTCTAGCCGGCAGGCTGCGGAACTTTCCATAGCACCATCTGAAATTGCAGCGGCGGTGGCGAGGGGGGGGGAGAGGCAGGGGGCGGGGGTGCCCCCAGTGCCCTCCAATGTGGTTGTTTCTGGAGCTGGAGGAGGAAATCTTGAGGCTGTCCAGGATGCTTCAATGCACGCAAGAAGCCGTTGTCTTCCCGACTTAGCAACCGGAAGAGGTGTGGAGGCTCCCAGGTCCCTTGGAAAGACTACACAGAATCTACTTACTGTTGGGGCGAGGTGGGGTAGTGAGAAGGAGGAGGAAGGAAGAGAAGGGAGTCAGGAAAGAATGATCATTAGGAGACCAAAAGCAAAGAGGAATGCCTGGAGATTCCCTAGGATGCAGATCCTATAGCTGGACTCGAAAGCAAGAGTGCAGCAGATGACTTTGCGCCAGGCTGCCTGCGTTGGGTTTGGGTCCCTGCAATTTCCACCTTACACTGGCCCAAGGTATCCCACAAATGCGAGTATCTGATGGCAAGCGTGGAAGTGGTTCAGCCCTTCACTATCCCCCACCCCAACTTAGTACTCCTAGGGCTGGGAGCCATGAAGCCGGTGGCTCTGCCTCAGCAGCCCTCTGGTCTGGCTGCGCTCTGCTCACAAAGCGGTTGGGGAGCCCCGTTTGAATCGAATAGATCGAAGCTGGCCGGCGTGGGTAGCTCTGCCAGCGCAAGAGCTCTGTATCATCACCCGAGCCAGTGGCTCCTGGATGCTGTGGCAGCCAAGGGCATGAAGCCTCTAAAAGAGCAGGGCCCGGAGTTGGGGGCAAGGGGAAGATGGGGACCTGGCAGTACTGGGCTTGGTCAAGGAGAGCAGCACACTGCCTGCAGTTCAGTGCTGGGAAGAAGCCCTGGCGGGACCCGTAGTGACAGCGGATCTTGCCTGGGACAGGTGGATGCGGGGGGCGGGGGGCTCACAGTCATGTGTCCCCTCTTGCTCAGTCTAGCCCCTGGAGTGTGGGCGAACCTAGCTGCGTTGCAGCCCCTACTCCAACCCCTCCTCTCCCGGCTGCGGGCTGTGACTCCCTCCCTGCCTGGAGCTTCCCACGGGGAGAGGAGGAGGAGGGGGAGGAGGAAGGATCGGAGGGGAGGGAGGAGCAGAGGGGGACTATTCTGAGCGGTCCGCGCTGCTCCCGCCCCTCGCGCTGTCGGTGAAGGCTCCTACGAGCCTGGCCGGGTAGAAGTCTGTCCTTCGACGTCAGGGGGTCATTAATAACCAATTAGGAGGGTCACTGCGGCTCCTATAAAGGAGCTGAGATTTTGCCAAGGGGAGGACGGTCCTGGCTGGATGTACAGGAGGCGAGTGTGCCACCGAGAGCCCTTGGTCGGTGTTTCTCTCTGCAGCCACCTGCCTTCTACCCATCCCTCACCCCTCCTGGTATCCGCCCCTGTCTCCACCCGCGATTTCCAGCTCTCCGTGTCGCCTCTAGCATCTCTGCAGATTTTGCGTATCTCCTGCTTGGTTCACTTTCCTCCCTGCCATCCCCTTACCACCCACTCCCTAGTGCATCCTTCTCTTCCTTCTCCTCCCCGGTGTTGTGTCGCACTCCTGTCGTCTCATCCCTGTGCTCCCTATTTGCTGCCCACCTCTCCGAAGTCCACCCAGCCATCGTTCTGCAGCGTCGGTGAGCACCTGGCCGCCCATGATGGGCTCCGTGCTCCCAGCCGAGGCCCTGGTGCTCAAAACAGGGCTGAAGGCTCCGGGGCTGGCGCTGGCGGAGGTCATCACCTCCGACATTCTGCACAGTTTCTTATATGGCCGATGGCGCAATGTGCTGGGCGAACAGCTGCTGGAGGACAAGAGCCACCACGCCAGCCCAAAGACTGCCTTCACCGCCGAAGTCCTAGCTCAGTCCTTCTCAGGAGGTGAGTCGCGCCGTCGGGGCTCTCCTCCTTCGCTCTTCCTGGCTACCCCTAATTCCCAGACTAGCGGCGCGGTGGCCAGATAAGGAACGCTGGGCCTGAGGCTTCAGCCCTCAACCTGGATGTCCCCCTCCCTCTCCCATTAGCGCATCTCAGTTTTTCTGTGGGTCAAATCCGGGCAGCAACAGCCACACCGAAGCAGAGCGGAGGCAGCTAGGAATGCGGGGCGCCCTGGAACCAAATCCCAGCGACCCAGACGACCTACAGCTAGGCACTTCTGTGCCTCCTCTCCCCACCCCACCCTCCAGCCAGGGGCTCGAGGTCTCCTGGCATTGAAAGCCTTCCTTACTGGGCGTGTAATAGCAGTTGACTCAAAAAGAACGTGTTTTAAATTCATTTGGTTAACTTGGGCTTGACCCGCGAAAGTTCCCACTTAAACCAAAAACTTTAAAAGACAGCCGAGGCCGGGGAAGGGGCGGAGGGCGGGCAGGCCGGAGAGAAAAAGCCGGAGAGAGCGAGGGAGAGAAAGAGAGCGAGGAAAAGTTCCTTTTCTTTAAGATGTCTCAAGTTCTTATTCCTCATTCGTCACCCCGCAAACAATATCTTTCCCCAGCACTGGCGTCTCTGAGCGTCGCCCTCTCTTCCCCTTTAAGATTGCTGTTCCTCTCTTAATTTACCGTGAAGACTAATTCCACTTCCATTCACGCTATGTCAACCATCTAATCCTCCCTTTTTGTAAGGAGAATTCCTCGGCCCCTTTTAAACAAGTCCCCTCCGCATTGAGATACAATTTACTGCTACAGCTTTCTTCCAGGGCTAATGAATTTAGAATTAGCAATTTCTTTCGAATGGAGCCGAATGAATGCGATCACTTTAACAGCGTGACAAATTGCCGGCCGCTCCGCAATGGACACCGTTTAACCCCCCCTTTCAGCCGGCCGGCTCGCCGGGTATTTTCCCAGGTAGCTTAGAGGGGAACCTTGTAAGACATGGAGGCCGCCCCTGTGAGCCTCGCCGCTCCCACCCCTGCCGCAGAGGCCCCTCCGGGGAACCTCTGGGAGCTAGGGACCATTGGCTCTTTCTCGTTCGTTAAGGCGATTTCAGAGCTCGCCTGATCTTGGTGCCGCCTTCCCTCGCACTCTAGAGCCTGGAAGCAGAGAGGGACACTGGCTTGCAAGGGAGAGATGACACCGAGAGCTCAGTTTGAAGAAGAAAGTGTTTCTTTTGCGCTTCCAAGCTGGGGATCTATCCCCAGTGCTGACCGCATTCGGGAGACACGCAGTGAGCCCAGAGTCACCAACTGAAGAGCCAGGAACAAGGCTGACTGAAGAGTCCCGGGTTAGACGTTACCTCTTCGCCCGGCCTCAGTTTCCCTGTCTGTAAACACAATGCGGTTTCACTTGTTCTTAAGCTTTTCCGCGAAGGAAGGTGGTGAAGGTTTGTAGATGTTTGGAGAATTTGTGGAGAGCCCCAGGGGCTGATGATACAGCTCGGGGCAGAGCGCTTCATGTCCTAGGCTTTGGGTTCAATCCCCCAGTAACTCTCCGCCCAAAAGAAAAACAAACGAACCATAATGCACCGCTTGCTTTTAGAAGGCACAGAGGGTCTTGGGTTGCAAAATAAGGCTGAACCTCTGCGCACAGACCCATAGCACATCACTGGAAAGAGCCCTGATGGGGCTGCTTGTGCGCTGAGCAGGGAGAGTGCGTCCTGGATGAGAAAGGTAGGGCCTTCTCTGTGCGGCCTTGACTGGGTTCTTCTAACCACCCCCACCCCCCGCGCAGAGGTGCAGAAGCTGTCCAGCCTGGTGCTGCCGGTGGAAGTGATCATTGCTCAAAGTTCCATCCCGGGCGAGGGCCTTGGCATCTTCTCCAAGACATGGATCAAGGCAGGAACGGAGATGGGTCCCTTCACTGGCCGTGTCATTGCCCCAGAGCATGTGGACATCTGCAAGAACAACAACCTGATGTGGGAGGTAGGCTCCAGCTTTGGAGAAGGATTCGGGTGGGCAGGTGTCTGGCTCCCTCAGGCTTGAATCCACTGGTGACGGAGCTCCAGTTCTGGAACTGTGGATGCTGTCTCTTTGAACATTCTGGGATACCACTGTCCTGTCCTGCAGCTTTCTCTGCTGCCATGGTTCTTTCTTGCCTTGGGGAAAATCTAATCTTTCTTGATTCCAGGTTTCCCAAGCAAGGTTATTAGCCACCCTTCATGTGTGCAGGCAGTGCTGAAATTCAGGTGCAGAGACTGGGCTTCTCCAAGCTACCCACATTCTTTCCCTGGCCTTAGAGGCAGCAAGGGTGGGTCTCTGAAGCTGGCCTGTGGTGAAGTGGGGCTGAAGTGGAGGATATTGGAAGCTGGGTGTTTCTTGAGAATAGCTTTCCAAGTTCCAGGTCTGGTGGCATCCAAAATAACAATGGCTGACTGGGTGTCGAGTCAGCAGTCTCATTCCCCAGCCTGCAAACTGTGAGCTCATCTTCTCAGCCCTGTGGGTTGTTCTCCTCATTTTGCAGAAGGAAATGAATATCTGAAAGTCTTCCATTTCTGGCCTTCTGCCTCTACCCACCTCCAACAATGTCAGCCGACAGGGAGGGCCCCCCTTAGGACAAAGCCCGCCCAGTAGTAGCCTTCCTCCATTGCTCTTCCCCCACAGACCTGCACGCCCACAGAAGCCAGATGGTGCACCTACTTCTCAATCTCATTGCACCCCCTGCTGCCACCCTAGCAGCCCCACCTGGCAGAAGCTCAGTGTGATACTGTACAGCTGTTCTGAGGAACTGGAGGAAGGAACAGAGAGATGACCCCAGACCTTGCTTTCTCGCTACTCTGGATACCTGGGCCTGGTGTGTCTTCCAGCTGTTGCCTCATCAGGAAGTTAGGGTGTGGTTTGAGCTCTGAGGATCTTTAGCAGCTAGCTTCACATATGGGCGTAGGCCAGGCCAAGAGACCCCAGTGAGCTAGATTTGTGTCCCAAACTCTTGTGTCCCTCTGCAGCAAACCTCTGCATCCCAAAGTCAAGTAGCAGAAGAGCATACTACCTGCTTAGGGATCTCTTGGAGATGACTGACTCCTTTGCCCCTCGCCTCAGACAGTCACAGTGCCCCCTAACCTCCCTTTCCTGGATTGGAAGGTATAGCTGGCAAGAGCTTTAGCCACTTCCTGGAGCTGTTGGGAGAAAGGAGAATGTCTACAGATGGGCGTGGCCTGGGTCACACATGTAACACCTGTGCCTAGGTATTCAATGAGGATGGCACTGTACGCTACTTCATCGATGCTAGCCAGGAAGACCACCGAAGCTGGATGACCTATATCAAGTGTGCCCGGAATGAGCAGGAGCAGAACCTGGAGGTGGTACAGATCGGCACCAGCATCTTCTACAAGGCCATAGAGGTATGCACATGTACTGTTACATAGGGACAGATGGAGATATGTCATGGTGAGAAGTATGCAAAAGCAGCTGTGTCTTGTGACCAAAGAAGACAGAAGGACATTGGTGCTGGCCCAGATGGCTCTGCCTGGGTATAGGGATGAGGCTTATGAGCCCATGATTGTCAGGAATATGTCCTGTATGGAAAGCTTGCTGATATAGCTGGGAGAAGATGGAGCTTGCAACTTGATGCTGTGGTGAATGAATCGAACATAGAGGAGAGTGTGCAGGGGTTCAAAAGGTTCAAAAGACACCAGTGGAAGCAGGCTGGGGCTGCACTTAGGTATGAATATAAAGGTCGTCTGTCCATGGAGGTTTAGCTGTGTGTTGTCCCTCATTCTGCATACATGGGAGCCAGTTGCCACAACTGGCTCAGTGCTTTGTCTCAGCAATAGCCTCCCACATGCTGACCCTCACACAAAGAGGATCTTTTGTTTGTCCACAGTTTATGGACACAGAAACTTGTCATTGCTTGGTGGCCTAGAGCTTTGAACCCCTCCTCCCCTAGGGGGGCATGATGTATGGGAGTCTTCTAAAGTGGACCAGGTTCAGGGAAGAGAAAGGGGGCACTCCTGGAGTAGGAGATGCCTGGCAGAAACAGAAAAGCTGGAGGCATCAAGGGCAGGTGTGAGGGAAGGAGCAATGGTAGCCGAGGCCGTGCACATCAGCAGGGTTCTTTGAACAGGGTCTCTTGGCTTGCAGCTTCACTGTGACTTTTGCCCTGGATGCCCTGGAAGTTGTGAGGGATAGCAGGGCTGTCCCACTGTATTTTTCTAGATCTTGCACTTTTGCTAACTCGTTTTTGAAGTCCTTTAGTGGGGTGAGGGTCAGGGGCTAGGTTAGAGAACAACTTCCTTTCTAGCCACATTCCATTTACTGGCAAAGACTATGAGCCCGAACTCAAGGCTCTTCTGCGTGTTCAGGCCTACTCGCTTCTTGGACTTGAGTCTTGGACTTGTTCCAGAATGACCAGACCCTTGGGACTTTGACAGGGGTGGTGACAGAATAGCCTTTGCCTAGGCTTTGTGTGGCCAGAGCCTGAGTCACAGCAGAATGTTAGCCCAAGGAAGACCAGGGAGTGGAGAGTAAGGAAAGACAGGCAGGTCTGCCACTGGAGTTCAGGAATGCTAGCAGGGCTGAGGAGTGTCAGTGTAGTAATAGAGATAGCTCAGGCAGGATCAGCATGACTCCTGTGACCATGCCACTGGATTGCCACCTCCTAGAACAGGCTTTTGTAGCAGCTGAACTCTCTCATAGTTAGGTACATCACCCCTCTGTCTTTCTTACACACACACAGATACACACCTTTACTCCCACATACACATACATATACGTGTACTCTCCCAGAAACACACCTGTACAGACATACATACACAAACACACATACATGCGCATGCACACACACACACTCATACATACACGGATTCATACACACACACACACACACACACACACACACACACACAGGAGACTGGCCAAGAACGCCTATGTCATGTTGGTACTCAGGCTCCTGGCTGGGGCAGACAGGTGGCCTGAGTCCCATCATACTAGACACATCAGACTGGTAAAGTCAGATCAGGACATGTGAATGACATATATGCAGAAGTATGAATTCAGGGAACAAAGAGGGTAAGGAATATTTCTAGGGAGGGTTTGGAATTTGTATGATTAGGAGAAAAAGTTCATCTATGTTTATCAGAAATTTAAGTTTATGAAAGAATAGGCCATACACACACATCTATATAGCACACACATTATCACACATATAAAGAATCTATCATATATATGCTTCTCACATGTAATCACAGTGTTTAGAGCGAAACATCCTGCTAAGAAGGGGCTGTTTAAGTGAGGCACAGGTAACATGAAACATTTCCAAATTACTTTTCTTTCTTTTGTTTAAATTTTTTTTGTTATTTTGCAGTGCGGCAGTGGCGCATGCCTTTAATCCCAGCACTTGGGAGGCAGAGGCAGGCAAATCTGAGGTCTAGGCTAGTCTGGTCTACACAGCAAGTTCAAGACAGACAGGGCTACACAAAGAAACCCTGTCTTGAAAAAACAAAAAATTTTTTTTTAAAAATTTGATACAGGGTCTTACTATGTAGCCCTGGCTGTGCTGCAACTCACTCTATAGACCAGGCTGGTCTCCAATTCACAGAGATTTGCCTGATTCTGCCTTCCAAGTGCTAGGACCAAAGACATTCATTCACCACCATACCTAGCCCCAAATTACTTTTCATAAGTAAAGTTGAACAAATTTTCTTCATAGTAGCAATTCTCTCAAATATTTTTATAACAATGTCTGAATTCCACTTATATGTCCTGGTGTGACCAGACATTTTTCTGCTCATCCAGGCGGCTCCTGGGAAGTCTTGAATAATCAGCTGTTTGTTCTGTGCGCTTGTGTGTGTGTGTGTGTGTGTGCAGATAGAGCTGTTAGCCAGAGAGAGGGACCTCTGCCATGATCTGTTTACTTGGTCCTTCTGCCACTCACAAGCACTATTTATAGCTCATTACAGTAACTCATTACTTGCCAAAAGGCAGGGCAAAATGTCTCTCTTCAATAGGAAGAATACACTATTGCTGCTCTAAAACATTCCACAAATATAAAGTCATGGATTGCTAAGTGGAAACAAAGGTGACTGGGTTTGAGAACTCAGATTAGCACTAGAGTACTGCCACAAATTCTGCATTCCAGGTTGGGATGATGGGGTTGTGAGCTTGCAGCCTTCTGGCTTTGCTTTTGCCTGGACACTCTCTCAGTCCTGCATCAGGTGCCTTAAATGGCATTTCTAAAAGGCACCCAGCAGAAAGCAAGAGTATACTAAATATTAAACAAATAAATCTTTCTCTGGGTGATGTGGTATACACGGGACCCACCTCTTCCAGGAAAACAGAACTGGCTCACCGAGGAATCAAGAGATTTGCTCAAGAGACCATCACAAGTGAAGGCTTGAAGAATCTGTTATCACACTAACTAAATACTATTATCTGGGTGTTTTACAATGGGAAGAAAATCTCCAGTCTTTCCTGCTTCTGCTTCATTGTATTGTATTGGCAAATGATTGCCCTGATATGTGGGCTTTCTCGTTTCTTCTTGTCTCGGGGCAGCTGAGCCTTTTATTTTTCCTAGCTCCTCATCTCTTTTCTCAACTAGGAGAATAAGCACAATTTTCCTTTTGACCTTGCTCAGTAGTGACTCTAACGATTACCATCATTAGTGATCATTGTCTTTAATGATGCTACCTGAAGCATTTCTCATGTTCCAACACTACACTGAAATTATTTTCAAAGGGCCTTAGCAACTTTTTGCTTTTGTAGTAGGGACTGAACCTATGGCTTACTTACTTTTTTTTTTCAAGGTTCCATAGATGGAACCCAGGTTCCTACTGAATAGGTCCTCTATTGCTGAACCTCATCGCAGTCTCTGTCCTCATTTTAATGATGAAGAAATGAAGGTTCAAGTTTGGGGAGACTCGGGAGCTGTGACTTGGCCCCTAGCCCCATCTGCTGCAATGCTAGGGTATGAATGTCTGTGCTGTGTGGCTCCCTGGCCAGCATCTTCTTGTTGGGTCTCTATTAATTGGTGTGTCGGGACATCTGTGCACGATGGAAACTGATGATCATCCAGATGACACGGAGATGCTTCTGTGTCACCCGGGAAAGGGCAGGTGTCAGAGTCTCCCAGGAGCGTGTTCAATGGGGTGTCATGAATTTGTATTAGGAAAGCAAACCTGAAAGCCTGTCATTGCCCTTCTGTCATTGAAATGGGGCAGGACTGGAGTTAAGGAAGAAGAAGGAACGAACGTTAAGAACTAGCTAAGAGATCACGTGGCTTGTCAGCAGGAATCAGGTAATGCTGTTTCCCTGGGCTTGACAGAGTGGATTTTATGAAATGGGGACCAGTTCCTTTGGAGATTATTTGCATATCCCAAACCAGAAACACGAATGACCAGCTGATTCGGGCTCCCAGCCTGGACCAAGTGAACTCAGTAGGAAGATGCCTGTGAGGGACCTGCATGGGACTGTGGCTGTCCAGTGCACTGAGGTGGCTGTACATAGTACTTCCAGGGTCTCAGAGAAGAGGGTGCAAGTTCTGGGGTACCCTGGGCTCCAACACAGGCTACTGCTGGATGCTAGACACACCTAGAGGGCGGCAGCAGCAGCTGGGCATTCAGAGCAGGAGAAAGAGTGGCTCCCCGTTATTTACCCCATGGCACAATTATTCTTTTATGCCCGAGAGATTTACTTTTCAAGATGAATAAAATTCATTTTAGTATTTAGTAAGTGGAGACCACAGGTAGTGGGTTCCAGGCTCTGAAGAGCAAAGCAACTCTCAGCCTGTTTCTCTGTGAAGAGGACAAGGGCTTCTCCTACTGCTTGTAGCCTCTAGCTGTCAGGATGTTTCATTACCAACTCCAGTACATTCTATTCAGTAGGTTTCCTTACCTGAAAAATCTTATGATTGTTGTTTCTGTTGTGTATGTATAGGAGTGATACATGCTCATTAGGGTGCAGGGCAGTGATGACTACAGGGTTTTTCTCTGTAGCCCTGGCTGTCCTCCTGGAACTCACTCTGTAGACCAGGCTGGCCTCAAACTCACAGGAGTGCTGGGATTAAAGGCATGCATCACCATGCCTGGCTAATATATGCTCATTTTTAAAAACAATTTATTTTTATTCTATGTGAACTGGTGTTTTGCTTGCAGTGTATGTCTGTGTGAGGGTGCCAGGTCTCCTGGAACTGGAGGTACAGGCAGCTGTGAGCTGCCATATGGGTGTTAGGAATTGAACCCCAGTCCTCTGGAAGAGCAGTCAGTGCTCTTAATTGCTGAGCCATCTCTCCAGTCCCCATATGCTCATTTTTAAAGTAGATCTTGTAAAACCAGAAATCACATTGTCTCTTTGTGTTGCTGTTTTAAAGCCTAAACAGCATTTTTTTTCAGTCTCAAAATGACTCTTTTTTTGGGAAAACCCAAAGAGGCATAGGTAATAGCTGGGCATCAGGGCAGGAGAGAGAGACTTCCCGTTATTTACCATGTGGCACAGTTATACCTTTATTCTCATAAAGTTTGATTTGTTTAAGCTGAATAAAAATATTAGCATGTTTATTAAATTTAAAAATGTTTATTTTATTATATGTGTATGCATATTATGCATATATATGTGTGTGTGTGTATATACCACATGTGTGCCTGCAGTCCTCAGAAGCCAGGAGGGGTGTCAGGTCCTCTGGAGTAGATGGCTGGGTGCCACTACTATGTAAGTGCTGGGATCTGAACCTAGATCCTCTGGAAGAGCAGCCAGTACTTTTAATGGCCGAGTCACCATTCCAAGCCCTACTTACTTATTTTTAAGGCACACAATCTCACATAGCCCAGGCTGGTCATAAGATCAGCCATTCACTATTTAGGTGAAGATGACCTTGACCTTCTGATCCTCCTCTCTCTACCTCCTCAGTGCTAGGATCACAGGCATGAGTGTAGTCAAGGCCCAAACCCAGAGCTTCATACAGCCCGTGTAAGCACTCCAGCCACTGAGGCATGCTTAGTCACAGATGGACCTTCACCCAGTGGCCCTGGGCTTGACTGTAGATACTCAGAGTGCCCAAATCACTGCCAGTTCCTCCGGGGAATTGGCAAGCGAGGAAAAGTCAGCAGCAATTCCACAGCTGCATGGTCCAGAGAGCTTTGTGTTTGTGGTCCTGTTTCCCAACAACTATCAGTGAGGCCTGTAAAATAGGGACTGTTTCTACTGAGAAAGAACTGAGGCTGAGTGACATGGTTACTTGCTTGGCAGGTACGGAGTCTGAATGGTCCCAACATTCCAGACTCTAGGGCTCAGCAGGGCCCTCAGTAGCCCATCTCTTACAGGGTGTGTACAGGTGGCCTAGAGGCTGCCTTCAAGGGACATGCTTAGAGATTGTGTGGTCACACAGGGACCTGGTGACATGAAATCCATCTTGTACAGTAGCCTCTTTCCCAATCTATATCTTAAAATCAAATACCCCTCAATCAATATCTGAAATACTTGAATTCCATCATCTACATCTTTGAGAGCTTTCTTCTCTCCTCTTCTTCAAGGAGAGACCTCCAGCTCTGGCCTCTTGGATGGTGACCATGATTGGGAAGGGGAGGCTGAAGGACTTCAGGTCTAGTGCCAGATTCTAAATTGCCTGCTATCTTTGAGACACTGTCATTTGCTTATGTTTAGGAGGGATCATCCTTGTTTTTCATATTTAACCTCCCCAGTGGAAATGGCTACGCAGATGTTCCTGTGCTGTTGTGATGACAATGGCTATGGGTTGGTGTGAAGGGACATGGTGATGCTAGGCTGAATCTCAGTAAGGAAACAGCAGCCAAGACACATCAGCTTCCTACCCTGCCCTCCTCTCTCCTTTTGGAGACTAGAGGATGGCCTGAGGGGTCTTCTGGGCTCTCTCCACGGAAGGTGGACCTGAGGCTCTCAGGCTCATGTGGAAGGGGGGAAACTCTCCTTGACCGCTACTCTAGGGTGGCTACAGACACTCATGGGTGGAATCCTATGTGATTTCTTTGTGTGTGTATGTGTGTATGTATATACTTGTGTTGTGTTTGTGTATATGATTGTGGTTTTTTGTGTGTATGTTTGTGTTATGTATGTATATATACTTGTGTTGTATATGTGTGTATATGGTTGTGTTGTATGTGTGTATGAGTGTATGGAGACCAGACATCAATCAGGAGCTGTTGCTCAGAAACCTTGTTTTTTGAGACAAGATCTTCTGCTGGCTTAGGAATTGGCAGTTAGGCTAGCCTGGCCAGTGAACTCCAGAAATCTGTTTACCTCTACCTCCCTGGCACTGGGATTACAAATGTACACCACTAGCTTTTTCAGGTGGGCCCTGGCACTCAACCTCATGAGCTTACAAGGAAATATTTCCTCACTGAGCTATCTCCCCAGTCCCCATGTCATCTCCTGAGATGGGCTGTCTTGTTTGTCCTTCTTGGCTGGGGTCCAGAGAGCAGGCTTTCCAGGTCCCTTGGATTGTCACCACCACACTCTTGGTCAGTAGCCATCATCATTCTCTTACAAGCAGCCAAGCCTGGCTGGTCATCAGCTCTGGGTTTCTTTCTTTTTTCTTTTATTATTTGTTGTTTTGTTTTTTGTTTTTGAAACAGGCTGGCCTCAAACACAGAGATCTGCCTGCCTCTGCCTCCTGAGTGTTGGGATTAAAGGTGTGCACCCCCCACCCCCCCACCCCCGGCTGCTCTGGGTTTCATGATAATGGGCCTAGGACACTGAAAAACATTTTGTTTAAGGCTGTCTTGGTATTTCCGGAAGTGTAGGTGTTTGTCAATTCCAAGATTTCTTTTTTAGCACCCATGAGCATGGAATCTTGCAGAGAGCCCTGTGCTGGGAAAAGAAGCATGTGTGACTCCATGCCGCCTGTGGACATTTGGGATAAGAGCTGTTTCTGGAACATTTTCAGGCAGGGTGTAGCCATAGGACACCCCATAGCCCACACTCCTTAGAAACATATGGCTCAGCACTATGGCCCTGAGGGATGGCTGGCTCTAATTCCCCTGGATAAAAACATGAAAAATAAAATTCTAGGCTTTCATGTTACTTCTGCTTGTGGGGCTTTCCCCTCTTCTTTTGGAGACAGAGCTTCATGAGTTACAGGTTGGTCTCAAACTGTCTGCATGACCAAGGATGACCTTGAGTTTCTGATGACCCTACCTCTACCTTGAGTGCTGGGATGGCAGTGACTTTCAGGACTGGCTTATGCAGAGCTGGGGATCTAGTCCAGCCCTTAGTGTATGTTACAGCAAGCATTCCAGCAACTGAACTACTTCCTCAGCTCCTGAGTTCTTTTCGTTTCTTTTCTTGTGGCTATCAATTTGGATACTTTTGTATGGTGAAGGTAGGACAGAACTGATGAGATGACCTGGGCAAAGAGAGGGGAGCAGAGGGGACAATGCCCTGGGGCCTTTAATGTCTACATAGCTTGTCTGGGATAGCACAGTGGGATAGCCCCAGTTTGGGCTTTCTCAGAGCTGGGTGTGCAGAGAGCCCTGCTGACAGCTGCCACATCCCTGACCTCTTCTTGCCTTCTCCTTACAGATGATCCCTCCGGACCAGGAGCTGCTGGTGTGGTATGGAAATTCCCACAATACCTTCCTGGGCATCCCTGGCGTGCCAGGACTAGAGGAGGAGCAGAAGAAAAACAAGCATGGTAGGTATTCTCCATGGGGTCATGGTGACAATGATCCAAGGAGGGTGAACTAGGGGACCAGAAGCCTCCTGGCCACTGAGGACCCTGCTCCAACCTCCAGTAGCATTCTACACATGGAACCTACTGGTAAAAGAAGGCCACTTCCTCCAGAGCATCTAGCACAGGCTGAGCACAGGAAAGGCAGTTTTGCTTCCTGGACCAGATCAGGTCAGAAGGCAGATGGGGAAACCCCAGAAAGGTGATGGGGTGTGGTGTGGCTGGAGAGCTGGACAGGACAGCAGGAACACATACTGATTTCTAGCTTGCTGTATGGTGTTGAGACTGGCTTTGTGCCTCAGCTTCCTCATCTGTAAAGAGAAGGTGAAGGCGTGGGATAAAGGCATCTCTATGTCCCCTCTAAGTGTTGACTAGGTCCTGGTGTAAGTCCTGGCATCAAGAGAAGATGCCACCTCTTAGTTCTGTCCAGATCCTGGAATAGGGCCTGGCATGGTTTGTAATCTGAAAAAAAAAAATAGAGGCAGATTGAGCTTGTGTATTGAGATATGACTCGTCACAGTAGAAGCCACTGGCTCAACACCCATGTCCTTTTTGGTACTGAGAACCTGGATCCTCCACTTTGAAATGAAACCTTTGATAAGCATCACCTTCCCCGGGTGTACAACACTCTCCTGATATGTCTTTTAAAGGCAGTGTGGATGACCTTGAACTTGTGATTCTCGTGCCTCCACCTCCAATGTTGGGATTGAAGGAGTGTATTATCTTGCCCTACTGTTTGTTTGTAAGAGAAGCAAGCTGGGCATGGTGGTGCACACCTTTTATCCTAGCACTCTGGAGCACATCTCTGAGGTTGAAGCCAGCCTGGTCTAAGGAGCTAGTTCCAGGACAGCCAGGGCTACACAGCGAAACTCTGTCTTGAAATATGAGAAAGAAAGGAGAGGGGGGGGGGGGAGAAAGAAAGAGAGAGAGAGAGAAGAAGAAGCAGCCCAAGGCTCATGGGCTAGTGTCTACAGAGCCCTGCTTTTCCCTAAATGTTCCTGTTGCCTCCATTTGGGATGAGAAAATGGGCAAACAGTAGTTCCCAGGTACACTGAGTAGTCAGTGAATATTTGTGAAGTGAATGGATGAGAGGGCTTTTTAAGGTCGCCATAGTTGCTATCCTTTATTTGTAGCCTATTAGGACCTAGTCATTTCTCACATTCAAACTAAGCATAGAGAAATTTTTTCCAGTGACTCCAGGTTTTCTGATGAGCTTGCAAAATCCCGCCAGCCCCTAGTGGTCCTACAAGACCCTTAAAAAACTTATTTTAACATTTTACATATTTTGTGTGTATCTAGGCACGCTTGCCACTGCATACATGTGGAGGATCAGTTCTTTTCTTCACCATGTGGGTCCAGGGAATCCAATTCTGGCTTGCGGCAAAAGAATGCATTTAGCCCAGGCTCCCAACCACCCCACCTGACGTGGTCCTGACTTTTGCTTTGTGAGACAGGGTCTTTTTATGTAGTCCTAGCTAGTCTGGAACTCAGAGATCCTCCTGCCTCTGCCTCCCTGGACCGCCTCCCATTTTTCAGATGAGAAAGCTAAGGTTTTCTGGGGCCTTGTCGCCAAGTCCTCACAGGTTGAGTCCTGCTGCAATCTAGCTACTAGAAGATCAAAATCATGGCCCTTGGCGCCCTCGGGGCTGTGTTGCCCAGGATTTTCAAGGGAGTGAGTACACGGGGGACCGGGCGCAGCTGGCATGGGTGCTAACCGGGCTGCTTTCTTTCCCTTCCGCCCACGCTGTGGGTCCCGCGTTCCACCCGCACGGCCAGAGGACTTCCACCCTGCGGACTCAGCGACCGGCACCGCGGGCCGCATGCGCTGCGTCATCTGCCACCGTGGCTTCAACTCGCGCAGTAACCTGCGCTCGCACATGCGCATCCACACGCTGGACAAGCCTTTCGTGTGCCGCTTCTGCAACCGCCGCTTCAGCCAGTCGTCCACGTTGCGCAACCACGTGCGTCTGCACACGGGCGAGCGCCCCTACAAGTGCCAGGTGTGCCAGAGCGCCTACTCGCAGCTGGCCGGCCTGCGCGCGCACCAGAAGAGCGCGCGCCACCGGCCGCCCAGCGCCGCGCTGCAGGCACACTCGCCCGCGCTGCCCGCGCCCCACGCGCACGCGCCTGCGCTCGCCGCCGCCGCTGCTGCCGCGGCGGCAGCTGCAGCGCATCACCTGCCGGCTATGGTGCTGTGAGAGTCCCGCGCGCGCCCCACGCGCACGCGCCTCCCCGTCCCCGCTGCGTCGCACCTGACCCCAGCGTCGCGCGTCTCCGAGGCGCCAACTACCCGGAACCCACTTCTGATCCTTCTCGCAGAGGAAGATGCCAAGGAGCGACGTCCTCTTTGCCTAGGCCACCCGGCTGGTGTGGCTGCCGTGTGTGGCCTCTACTTGGGAGCAGGTTCCCATGCCCAGCTCCTTCCCGGAGTCTTCCTCCTGCAGGGCCGCTCCCCAACGCGAACATCTCTCTGGATGACAGGAGAGGGACAGAACATCTCTAAAGAGAGCTTAGTACTTGGGAGTGGTAAGGAGAGCCAACTCCTTGGTCCAGGGTGGGCCCGGGGCGGGCAGTACCCATCTCTGCCTCCTTGGAATGGTGTCTTGAAGTGTTGCTAGTGGAGAGACAGTGACAGTTGACAAAGATTGGGGCCCCCGAAAAGGTTAGGTTAGCAAAGACCCGGAGAAACCTGGTCCCTGCTGTCCTTGAGGCTTTTTCCCCAGCACCGGGCTCCCAGAGAAGGACAAGACGCCAATACTCTTTGAAGTGTTCTGAATAAGTTGAGTGGAGACACAAGGAACATTCACCATACCCCTGGGCAAGACCCTGTCCCTTTTGGAGCTCAGTTTCCCCATTTGTAGAACGCGGGAGTTAGACCAGTGCCCACCTCCTACAGCTCTGCTGTCTTCGAGTTTAGGAATGGAGAGGCACCCTCACCTCCACCTTACTAAGCACCCAAACAAGACAATGATGGACCATACAGGGCAGTATGAAGCCGGGGTTGGCGTCTCTGAGCAGAAAGCCCTGAGGCGTTAGGGGGCGGGGGCCGAGGTTCGTGCCCACGTGCCCACACTGCCACCAAGCCCCTGCCCAAGCCTTCCCCTGCTCCAACCATGGGCGCCCTCTGGTGTCATCTCAAATCTTGTCTTTTGCCAGAATCCCCACAACACACAACACTCCCTCCACACACCAGGGCGTTTGTAAAATTAAAACACAAAACTATAATAATATTAACGAAAGTATAAAATGTATAGAGTTTTCAAGAAAGTGTGTTCTACTCCCAGAAAACGGTCACTTTAACTTTGTAAATGTTTATCTAAGATGATATTTACGAAACTGTGATATATATTATTTGATTGTATATGTACAACTGTAAATACATTTGTACTTCTCTTGTATTCTAAAATAAAATTACTTGGAACATGTATCATTTGGCCCCTGAATGGATGCCCGCCTCTGTCTGAGACATTTGGAAACACAGTGGGAAAAGAATGGAAATGGCTGGAGGGGCTGTTCCACAGACTGCTGCTAAAATTCACAGCCGTACCCTCTGTAACTAAAAGCTCTGGTCCTTAAGAGAAGCCACAGTGCAGTGGAACCCTGAAGGAGCAGGACAGAATTCTCAGCAGCACAGCTCCCCTAAGGTATAATTTACCTACCTATACTTGGAAGTTTTTGTTCTCATGACCGACTTGGAGGTGTTCAAGGAGGCAGTGAGAGTGGGCCACAAGGACCACCAAGAAATCTACCACACCCATTTTCAGGTTCAACGTCTTAGATTCTCTTCCTGTACTGTGACAGCATTAGCAAATGCAACTTAGGAAGAAAGTTTATTTTGGTTCATGGTAGAAGGCATAGAACATAAGGCAGGAAGTCAAAGCAGCAGGAGTCTCAAGCTGCTTGTCATATCACATCCACAGTCAGAAGACAACAATGAATGAAGGCATGCTGTTTGTTCCCTTTTCTCCATCTAGGATCTGGTCAGGTACAGGGCCATCTACAGTAGGCATGTTCCTTCCCCCACAGGCATGCTCAGATGCCTTCCTCTCAGGTGACTGTGGATCATGTCAAGTTGACAGCTCTAACACACTTTAATGAAGTCCAAGGAGCAGAAAGGTGCTTGAGCCAAACTTCCAAGAAATCAGTAGATTCTTCCAACAAAAAGCTGTTTTGTTCCCTGTAGGTAATTAATTCTGTTGGGCGCCAGAACCCACCTGGTGGCAGTGTACTGCAATTGTAACTACAGGTGCCTCAGGCATGTGCACACGTTAGACTGAGGTGTGAAAACTGCCTATACCACTGGGATGCAAAGATAAACAGATGTGGATTGTGATCCTGAGGAGTATGCACACCAGGTGGAGGCCTGCACGGAAATGCTTTACCCCTTACACCTGCAGCATAAACCTTTAGCCCCTTTCCCCAAGAGCACAGCACCCCCACACAAAGGCATGCAGAATTTGAGGCAATTTCTGTGAACTAGTCCCATGGTTAGGCACTTGAACTTGTGCATTGTGAGAGTGTTCCCTGCACATTGATGAGCCGAATTCCCTCCCCGTTTCCCAAATGCCCTTTTATTTTATGTGGTTGTGAAATATGGACATAGTGAACATGTGCCTGTATCATCCAGCCATGGAGCAGCAAAGCAGGATTTCAGCTCGGGTTTCTGGCCTCAAGGGTCACAATCCTGATGGTCAGGCTACAGAATCCTGGTCAACTTGCAGATTCAGTCCAAAGAACTTTATTCACATCCCACGAGAACACAGTGTACTTTGACTTTGTATTGATTTTGACCTCTTGTTTTTGTGGTATAGTCCTGTCCCTCCCATGACCTTCCCATTCCCCTCCATGATCCAGAGAGCATCACCGACCCTTCTCCCTCTGAACCTTTCCTGTACTCCTTAACATCAGATATCCTGGATGGGGAGCAAGATACTGGGGTCTTCCTTGCAACTGGCCTATTGGGATGCATCTGTTGGAGGGCAGAGAAGGCTACACATGTAGCTGACATCATTGGAATCTAGGACCTGCATATGATAGACCAAGCACTCAATCACTAAATGACACCTAGCCCTACCACGGATCTTCAATAATATCTTTTTAAAAAGATTTTATTTATTTATTATGTATACAGTGTTCCACCTGCATGTATGTCTTCAGGCCAGAAGAGGGCACCAGATTATCGTCACAGATGGTTGTGAGCCACCAACTCAGGACCTCTGGAAGAGCAGCCAGTGCTTCTAACCAATGAGCCATTTCTCCAGCCCCCCTACCATGTATCGTAAAACCTAGAAAAACCCACATAATCGTTCTAGTGCCTTGTGTATTCCTTAGGATAATTTCTGGGTACAATCATGTTGTCTGTGGATGAAAATATTTTTCATTTCTTCTTCCCTTATAGTTGGTTTTATTTATTTATTAATTTGTTATTATTACTTTACTTCTTTATTTTGGGTTTTTGAGACAGAGTTTTTGTAGCTGGAGTTCCTTTCCAGCCTGGTTCCACAGCCAATTAGCCCCAAATAAACACAAAGACTTATATTAATGTATAACTGTTGGCCAATGGATAGGGCTACTTACTAGCCAATGAACAAACAACTCTGTACCTCAGGGTCCTCACATGGAACAGGGGTGTTATTAGCTCTAAGGGGGTTACTAGATAACAGTTATAAACAAATACAGTACATGGGTGTGTGCCTGGAACACAGTAGGTGCTCAGTAGATATAAGGATGTCTTTGGTGAGTGACTGGGGTTGTAGCTTTTGCCACCACCACCACTAATGCCATCCCTGCCCATTCTCCAGAACACATAACCCCATTGTCTCTTTAAACTCTTGCATAGACTTTACCCTCTGAGCTCCTGAACTAGAGGGACAGATTCCATGAGTATGCCTCAGAATTGGCCTGCTGGGACATGAGTCTGTGCATGGGGAGAGAAAGTTCCCGACAATAGTTGGCAAGTTGCCATGCTTGACTGCTTCCTTACATCATGGCCATCTCAAGGGAGTCTGGCTTCTTCCATGTTCCTTCAAAGCTTCAGAAGCAAGTATTCCAGGAGGGCAGGGAAAGCTGCATGGGCTGTCCTGGCTGGGCCTTTGCCACACAGAGGTATTTCTGACATATACTTCTAGAGAGGCAGGCACAGGTCCAGCACACACAAGGGGAAGGGTTGAAGAACTCTGAACTGTGAAATGTTCATGGTCCTGCTTAAAAAACTGAGAAAAACTAATGGGTGAGGGGGATAAGATGACTCAGCAGGCAAAGGGGTGTGTGCACAAGCTGACAACTTGAGTTCATCCCACAAGATGCACAAGATGGCTAGAGAAAACAGATTCCCTGGTGTCCTCTTCTGACCTCTAAACACATGTGCCCTAGTACAGACACACTCGTACACACACACACACACACACACACACACACACAGAGGGAGGGGTTTCTCAAATGATTTTAGAGAAACAGTATTTTGATATGTATCCTTCAATAGGAATCTCTGCATACCTCTGCTGAGAAAATCCAGCCTCTTTTGCCAATTTAGTGAACCACAAAGCAAGGCCGGTGTGTAGGTCCAAGAGCTCCCAGGCTCCAACTCCTGATGCCTCTTTTCACACTTCTCCAGATGTTCTTCATGGCCAGTTTCACTTGGAACCCACAGGTCCACTCATCTCAACATCCCATGTCTGTGGGTCCCTCACCTCAAGGCTCAACTCAAATGCCACCTTATCTAGGGGTCTTCTCTGGGCCTCCCTCACTGCTCCTTCTTGTGCCTCTGAACATCTCAGCACACTGTTGCTGTGATATCAAGGGACCCAGATCTGTGGTCCCCATAGCACTTGGTGGCTGTCTATTGAATATATTTATTTATTCATTCAGCAAATAGCTATTGCTTTTCCCCTGCAGCCACCCAAGCCACACAGAAGAGGAGGCTCAGGTGCTTTCTGGATTTGGCCTCTTACAGTTTTGGTTGTGAGTCTAGCCTTTAACAACTGAGCTATTTCTCCAGTCTGGGGGGGCATGCCTTTAATCCCATCCCAGTACTCAGGAGGCAAAGGCAGGCTGATCTCTGTGAGTTCAAGGCCAGCCTGGTCTACAGAGCAAGTTCCAGGATAGACTCCAAAGCTACAGAGAAACCCTGTCTCAAAACAAAACAAAACAAAACAAAAAGATTTGGCTTCTGTGTAGTTGCCCAGGGTCTGATTGGCCATCTGGGATCATGTTGGTGACCAGGGGCTATAAGAAGTATGGTTTTTCCACCTGCTGCCTGGTCTAGTCCTGCCGCTGCGCCAGCCCCAAATAATACACAGAGACTGTGTATTTTATACAATGCTATTGGCCCAGTTACTTGTTTCTTATCGGCTAGCTCTGTCTTAATTATTAACCCATTTCTATGTATTTCCATGTGGTCTCCTTACCAGGGAGTGAGGCAGGCGTCTGGCCACCCCGGTCTCTCCATGCTGACTCCTCTCCTATCTTCCTTTCCTATTGGCCAACAGTGCTTTATTATTAACCAGTATGAGAAACATATACAGAATGACATCTCCCATCATCTCCTCTTTTCTGTCTAAATA